ATGTAGTTATACATAATATAAAGCTCATTCAAGAAAATGATTTCGCCTGGATGATAGAATAAATATTTTTGATAATAGTCTATACCCTTTACCACTAGCTTTAAGCAAAGACAACGCCAACAACTTCTCGTCCAATGTAAATCGTCTAGCTTTAGGCTTTTGGTTTTGAGTACGGACTTGGCTTAAAATAAAGCTGTATATCAATGGATTGACGTGGTCTACGAGCCTTTGAAATTTGGTTTATGATGCAAGTTATTCAGCAGTAGAAACTTTGGATTTAAATGACGACAACCTTCTACTGATTCTTCTTAACTTATTGCTGGATTCTATAACTTTGGAATAAAGATATTTTTGCCCTTCGGGATAGGAATTTTTTGCCTAGTGACGTTAATGTTCTTTAAAATTTGGCATCGTCTCTCATGACCTGCAAAAAAAAAATAGATCAAGATTGGAGACGAGCTTTTCGCACATTTAGCTTCTAATTTTTCTAGCATTCGACTGCAAGTTTTAGTAATTAGTAGTCTTTTATAGTAGTAGTCCTACTTGAGTTAGGATGTTTTAAAATTCACCTACTCCCAACTGGGTGGTTATTCATTAAGCAATAACAGTTAGGTACCTACCAATAAAAGTTTTAAGAGACAAAGTGGGTTGGTGACTTTTTCATGTTTGCAGATGTGATGGTTCCACTTGGTGTAGCAATGTCTGCCCGAATTGCAGAAGTTTCAGTAGATAAAAATTGACGACATGAAGGGCCTGGTTGATCTAAAACACAAATTTCGTTACCAACGATTCTACCAAAAAAGTTTGGATACATGCATATTAGAATATGGTGTACCTGTATGTAACTAGGAATATTTTAATTATTGTGTCTCCTGATAAAGGAATAAACATTTAAAAAAAAGAAATGAATAATATTAGCTTTGTTCCAACACAGCAGAAAACCGTACAATGTACCGTCACGATTCTGCGCAGAAACTAAAATTGTTATACTGAGTGGTTTCGAAACCGTTCATGGGACGATTTTTTGACGTGTTGGAACAGAGTTATTATGTTTACCTACCTATGTCAATCATAGTTGCGAAACTAATTTCTGAAGGCGTCTTAGGACTCTTCGACGAGTTTCAACTGTGTCGATCTCCACTTTTTGCCATTTTGGTGATTGTGGTTTATCAATTAACGACTCCTCACTGTTTTTGATAATTGGGGCTAAAATTAAAATTAATTTTAATGTTTCTGACCTATGCTCCTTTAAACCCGAATTCTAACACGTTGTCGTTAATCAGAACTATGGGGAGGAGTAAGTGAAAATGTAAGTACGTCTTTCTCACATATATCTAGTATTAACTTACCTTCAGGGAGATACAGCAAAAGCGCAGCATTCCATGTGAGTCCTCGTCTGGCTTTTGGATCGCCAACAATAAATTCTCGAGGAAAATGTCTTGTTCACGCTCTATAATTATTATAAGCCTTCTCGACACTGAGGCTATTTAGTAAAGGATTGCGAACTTTTTCTAGCCATTGTTTCATTTTTTCGGCATCTTTTGGAAACCGGAAATAGCTGCTGTAGCATTTCTGATGCTTTTCAATTAACAAACTGGGAGAAGACATTTTGAGATAATAATTATTGTTAATTGATAGGTAATTGATAATTCTAAATGTTGGGAGAAATTCAAAATTTAAATTTTGACGACTGGAAATGACAAAATAAACTTCAAATCTTGGCGCACGGTCCGGCAGGAAAAAGAAAACTTTAATAGGTTGATTGAAGCGCCTCTAGTGATTGGAGGGGAAAGCTGAAACGACTAGACTGACGTCTCTCATAAGACTTACATTTCTAAGGGGGGATGTTTTGTGGTATTGACACAGTCAAATGACCTTGTCTAGTTGAAGCAAATTGCCGCCTCTAACCTTCGGTTATTCCATGTACAGTTTTACCCTCTCTGGGAAATAAAAAATTGCATGATTTGTATTTGTATATGACTGAAAGCCAAAATAATTAGTGTGGATAGGATTGCTTAATCTCAAAATCACGTGATTTACAAAATCTTTAGATAGGCTCCATTAACCTATCAGTTCTTCAGCTAATAAAGATTTTAAAAAAGTAGGTTAGAACAGAACCCTTTGCTGCTTGCAAATTCTAAATTGTAAAAGGCACCTCATATTCCAGAGGACACTTAAATACCAATAATTAGCCAAAGCTTACTTTTTCCTAAATTTCAAGTAAATTATCAGACTGAAGTATTCTGTCTAACTGGTATAAAGTTATAGCGGTGCAAATGGCCGTAATAATATCTATTTGGTTTTTGAGTCCTACCAATAGTAAGATGTACCCCAACATCAACGATTACGACATCAAATGTGAACGAGCCTCAAAATAAATTCAAACTAAACTTTATCATCCAAAAGACCTCTCATTTGTTTTCTCTAGCTAGAAGGAGTTGAACAAAGGAAATAAACCGTGAAAATTAAACATATCAGTCTTGGTCCATGGTGAACACAATCAGCAATATACCGATAATTTCAATTTATTTATTTATTTTATTGATTTATTTATTTAAACTGCACAATTTGTTAACATACTTGTGTTTTTAGACGCCGCCCAAACACCGGAGGGCGAGCGTTTTGGTATTTTCTGCGACAGTTGTAATGTTGTACTTAATTTATTTTACTGTAAAGATTGCGCGAGCTTAACTACGTCCGAAGCAGATGCACTAACAGTCCTTAATCGGTCTGCCTTGTTTTATTGTAATGTCTGTAAAGCCAATTCTCCTGATCAGCAGGTATCCATGACATACTTAAGTCTGAATTACTTCGAAAGGAAAAATACATTTATTCTTTTTCAAGAGAAACAGAATATGAAGATGCCAAACTTAGTTTTAAAGACGAAATCAGCCAGTTGAAACAGAATAATAAAATGAAGGACGATCACATAAAGCGCCTTCAACGACCAACCCAAACGTTGGACAAGGAAGTATTCCAGGCCGAAAGTAACTATGAAAACGTCATCCAGTCACAAAAAGGGGAGTTATCCCATTGTAAAAAAGAAATGGCGGACCTGATAAATCTGAAGAACGGTTTCGTGGACCAGGTTTCCTGGCTAACTAAGGATAATGATAAATACGTTCAGGATCTAATAGTCTTGAATAAGAAGATAATTTCGAGTAAACAGGTCGCAAGTGGAGATGAACGGTGTACCCAAACTGAGTAAGCTACATGCAACGATGCTGATGGAAGGAACAGATTGTCTATTCCTCTGAACCAAAAGGTTGATTTCAACGCTCACCCGCATGAGAGTGAGAGTGAACTGGAAACCGCCAGAAAAGTACTGGAGTAAGCGAGAAAAAGAATTCGCAAAGATTTTGAAAGTAATTTTTTATCTGCAAAAAAGTCTAAAGAACAAATTATCGAATTAAAGTCTAGAATTGGCAGGCTAACTGTTAAAAGCTCAAGCCTCCGAAAGAGCATAGACACACTAAAATAAAAAAATCACGATCAGGCATATGAATTATTGGAAATACCTTCCAAAGAGGTCAAGTCTACAAAACCACCGATTCTTATGATAGGGGTAGGGGACAAATCCAGTCTTCAAGGATGTGGAAAACTCATGAAACTATCAACTTGCTTTGATTATGACATAAATTGTCAATATACTAACCAGCCTTCATTTAAAAAAATAGACAAAGTCTGATTATGTGGTTGTTTTCCTAGGACTGAAGGATGCTTACCAGAGAAGAACTGTTTGTGAAAAGTCTTTAACGAGAATGCTTGACGTTGCAGAAAGGACTAACCTGTTGTTTGTTCGTTTGTTGGGCCATGTTATTCGCAATACAACTAACTGTATCCTCAATGATCGGCTCCGTTCTTGTGCATGGACAATTTGTCTTTGGGGGAGAACAGTGGGATGAACTCTTTTGTACACGGTTGTATAATTTAAACTTTTTTAGCGCTGACTATAATCTCCCAAATGATTTCTTCAAGAATATTGACTGGAACATGATAAATTCAATGAATACTGATTTAAACAGTGCAGTGGTTCTTTTTTATTCTACTGTATACTTTGCTATAGATATGTATGTCCCTAAAAGACTTATTAATAACAATAAATTTCCAAACTATATTTTTTCCAAGAGAACAATTAATCTCATTAAAAGTAAGAACAATGTTTACAGTAAATTGAGAAAAAACAAATCATCATCTCTTGAAACCAAATATAAAAACCAGTACAATATCCTCAATAATGTAAAATCGTTTTGGAAGTATTTAAAGTCAATAAGAAATGTTGGGTACCCAAGCTACATGAGGCTTAAAAATTTAGTGTCCCAGAATCCCAAAGAAATCGCAGATATCTTCACAATATTTTTTCCATTTTATTCCAACACAATAAGGGAGCAAGACCAGAGAATATTCCACCAGTTTTTCTGAAAAACTGTAGCCCCACTTTAGTGTAGCCCCAGTTTTAATCGCAATATGTTATGTGAGTATAGAATTGTCATTATGTACCATTTGGAACTATGTTCTGTAGAGTATTTGAACAGATAAATAAATAAATAGTAAGCAGTAACCCAACATCAGATTACGATATCAAATGTGAACGAGCCTCAAAATTAATTCAAATTAAGCTTTATTATCCGAAAGACCTCTCATTTAATTTCTCTAAGATCCGGTTTATTCAGCTTCTGATAAACTTTCAGGTATGCAATCTGACGGATGAAAACGCAATCTGTAATCCCATTGGTCGACCAGTTAGGGCCCACCAATAGAATTATAGAACAGTAAATTTATCTTGCAGATAGTTACCAGGAAGTTTATCTGAATATGCATAAACCGCCCTAAAAGGAGTTGAACAAAGGAAAAAGACTGTGAAAATAAAACAATATCAGTCTGGCTCCATGATGATCACAATCAGCAATATACTAATAATTTTTAAATGGTTCTGGATTGGAGGAACAAACCTAATTCTTGAAAGCTAACCGGAAAAAATAAGTTATAAGAGAACATACCTGCATAGGTGAGAGCTGGGGGTTCCGTTCAAGCTGCAAAATATGTTGCTGTGCATGAGCCAGCTGCCTGGTGGCGCTGCCCAGCTGCTCCTCAAGAGCTGCGGCTTCCAGCGATTTGACTGACAATCGCTCTGACAGGTCCATGATTTCGTCACGCTGCTGACGAGCAAACTCTTGCTTAAACTTTGCCACTTCCCTTTGAACCTGAAAAATTTCCTGAATAAGGAAATACTAATAGTTTAGCAGAGTATCTACCTCAGCTACATGGGCTTTTCTCATTGCGTCCAAAGCCGCTAGCGTAGCTTGCGTCTCTTCTGCTAGAGCTTGCTCTTTTTCCTGCTTCAACAGCTCTACTTCTTGTGAGTGAGCTTCCCTTATATCTTGAATTGTTCTGTGGAAAATGCTTACAATAAATATATATAAAAACACGAGCAGTTTAAAAAATAAGCGGAAGATCAAATTTTAGGGGTCCAAGTTGCTAAAAAGTTAGCCTTATAGGTAGTTTTAAAATCCCCTAAGAACACTAACCTTCTGTGCCATTGTTCCATTGATCCAAGTACTTTTTCGCACAACTGCTGTAACTGTTCAATGTCGGACTCTTGATGCCGTTCTTTGCAAGAAGCCAATGCGCATCTGTAGGCCGCCCTAAGGTTCTCCACTTGCGTCAGGTACTCAGTACCCAAATATACTGGTCTTTGGTCTCTCATGCGAGTATCGGACCTAAATAAAAAATTGCAGCGAATTGTATCCATAAAATAAGAACAGTTCTTTTACCTGTTTATTGGTCCACTCTTCTCTAAGGCATTTCTAATATTCTCTAGACTATTGCGTAGCTTTTTACATTTCTGGCACACATCGTTCCAACTATTGACCACCACATAAGTGCCATCTTTTGGTATTTTCATTATTCTTTGCAGCTCGTCTATTTTTAATTGGAAATCTTCCAGGTACATCATGATCTGGAATATTTTTAATAATAATTGTACTAAACATTTTTGGGACATTGGAGAGCAACTGTTGCTCTCCAATGTCCCAAAAATGTCTCATACTAGTGTTACACTAGTATGAGAATGATCTTCTAATGCACATTAACTTGAGGGGACTATTTTCATGGTTTTGTATCTTATAAGCCCATATACCATGTTGAACGGAAATTTTTATTCAGTGTGACAATTTGAGCAGTAGGCAATATATTATTACTATAGAATCAAAATAGTATATTGTTATATTAGGAGTAGAAGCTTTACTTTTTTGTGCTGAAGCAGTAGGTTTGCGAGCCGAACGTGGTTAGGCTTGCAAAACTGCTGAAGCACAAAAAAGTGCTTCTACTCCGTATGCAACACGCTATTTTTTCTCCAAACGAATGGGTAAGCTCGGGCGCAGCTGAATGGTCAAGCGGCAGTAAAAGTACGAGCGGCACTAAAAGTACTTTTGCTGCCGCTCCAGTGGTACTAAAAGTACTTCTACTGCCGCTGCGGTTGCCTAGCAGCATAGAAATTAAATTTCTACCACCTCGACAGGTGTTAACCCGCTGGATTTGCCTACCAGCATAGAAATTAAATTTCTAACAACTTGACAGGTGCTGACAAAGTGACGTTTTTTTGACGTTTGGAGAAAAAATAATTTTAAATACAATATAAAAACCGACAATCCCGTACTTCTGATTTTTAACACCTCTTATGAAATGCTTTTTATAGTTTTTTTTTAGGGCCATCTTAAAGTCGTAATGATGAAAACGATTTTTGTTTGCATTATCTGCTTAAAATCTGATTTTTTTTCAACGATCCCCCAATCCCAAATTAGGCTAGATTCGTTGGTCGTCAAAAATTCGTTCTGTACAGGGTGGATGTAGAGGATGAAATGTGAAAGAAACCATTTTTTTTGCATACGTTAATATACCGAAAGAAATACGTGAAAGTATCATCACTTGCTGCCAGTGTCCACAATGAAAAAAAAGTTTATGTTCTTCAAAAGCACGTAGTTAAATGGGCGACCGTAGCGCTTATCGCTCCCTGGTGAAAAGTGTCTTATAGCTTCAGTATCGCTCTCCTTAACTTCGCAATATTTAAGTTACCTTAAATTTGACTTAAAAATAACTCATAACCACTTTTGTAGACTAGAATCTCAGGATGCAGATGCATTGTTCGCGATTTACCTTTCTTGCTTTGGTAATTTTGTAGGAATTTGTGTAGCCGCGCGTGCTTCACGGCGACTAAGGTTCACTTTTGCTTGTTTTCGCTAGACTTGGTCGCAACCCTATGGTTTCCGCAACCACAAAATAATCTCATTCATTTTGATCTTTTTCTTTTAATAAGTATTGGATCCTCGATGATTAGATCTGTACCTATTATCAGTGTGTTGCTGATTTCGGTCGTGTTAATTGGAATAAGTTCGATAAATCCAACAATACCATGAGTGAAGATCTTACAACCAGCACTAGTTCAGATAGTGAGCTAGAATCAAAATTGAAATTTACCGTTAGCAAAAAAAGAGTGAAATTACCATTAACCAGTGCCTCTAATTGTAGCTAGTAAGTGTATAATATGTGAACAAAGCAGTAACTTAGTAGTATCATCCGCAAATTCAAAAACCAAGTTTATGTGAGTATTAAACTTAGAAATGAAGTATCTAAAGGAAAGGATTTATCATCGTCCAATCTTAACAAGTCAATTTAATTGAAATAGAACAAAGTCTGAACCTTCATTCGCATAAAAATTACCACAGCAGTTTCACAAGTTCCAAAAATATTGATTTTCCTACCTATACAAGAAAAAACATTTAAAAATTGCTGCGGATCTCGTTCCCAATACTGCAATACTGTAGCAGTTTCTCGTACTTGACGGTCTGCTAATAAATTTGATACAAAGCTATGTGTATTGCACAGAAAAGTTTATCTCTCAAGAATTTGTGGAAATGACCTAATTGCAGCTGAAATCAAATACCATTCCAATTGTCTCACTTCACAATGGCAACAACTGAGGAGAACAAATGCAAGCACATCCAAGAAGAGGAAATGTACCATGGACGATTAGGTACTATTTTGTACAACTAACCAGAGAACTGAGTAAGGGTTTTGCGAAGGGGAAAGGATATGATAAACTACAGTTATACAGGGTGTTTGGTAGGTCGATGTACCTATATATTTTGGCAGGTGATAGAGTAACATTTAGAACCTATTTAGTAAAACTTACCTAATTACCAAGTCTTATGGTTTTTAAAAAATGGCCGGTCTAATTTTGTCTTAAGCAAATCCTATTTGTTCGGCGCTTCAATGCAATATTCAGCAACAACATCAGAAATTATCACAAAAATCAGGCAGACGTTAACAAACTGTTCACCTAACTCAGTTTAAAAGTGAACATTTTGTTTGTAGAAAAAGAAGAAAGAGGCTAGTCCAGTTTTTCTCCGTAAATACCTTCTCATTTTTGGGAATCTGTAGTCTAATGATTTTTATGCTGCAATCCAAAAAAAAACATTGTAATTTTTTCGTGGTATGTACAATTCGAAGAGGCACATGTGGAAAAAGCTTTTTTCTTCAAACGTCTCTAAAAGTGTCATTTTTAACAGATGCTTAAATGCCATTTTATCAAACTGGTGTTAAAAGTGAAGTGAATCACTTTTAGTCCGTTTGTAGAAAAAATAATGTATGATATTCGTGCTAAAAGTGATTTTATTTTATTCAAAGGGATGGAACACTCCGCCTTCGGCGTCGTCTTCCAAACTTCCCTTTTCACAAAATAAAATGTCACTTTTAGCACTTATATCATAAATAACTATCAAATTACTTTGAAAAACTTGGTTGTCTTTATTTTATCCATTTTTTTTTTCCGAAAAAACTTAACTTGGAATGGAATTAGTATGACTATAAAATGGCACTCTTATTGTTCATTATTTATTTATTTTTTTGTTACTTAATGCATTTGACACAAGAATACACATTCCGTTAAGATACAAAACAAAAATAATTGAGACAGTATTTCGAAATATTGCATTAAAGCGCTCAACGAAGGATTTGTAAGATTTTTTTAAGAAAAAATTAAATCGGTCATATTTTGAAAACTATAAGACTTGGTACTGGTAAGTTTGACTAAATAGGTTCGAAATGACACTCTATCACCTCCCAAAATATATGCATCGACCTACCACACACCCCCTGTATATAGCCAATACCTGGAAATCGCTGATGTAAATTGCAATCATATAATTTTAATACCTAAAGTAACAAAAGAAGAAGTCGTAGAAAATTATGTAGAAAGATTAGATAACGAAGAAGACGAAGGTATGCAACTTGGTTCATCTGAAATTGCTGTTTTTCATAAAATTTGTCAAGAAATCAAGTGTGAAATGGATACCGTACAAAGTTTAAAAGACAGACTCTTAATAATAACGACTATAAACAATTCATACCAGAAAAAGTATTTTCTATGATTGGTCTACTTTTGTCAGATGGCGCAAACGATAAAGAAGTAAAGACTATCAACATTTGTCAGGACCTCATTTATGCAGCCTCCAATGGAAAAAAGTAAACCCGAAAACACGTTGAGGAATACTCGTACACTAGGATACGAGATCAAAAAAACTTCTTGAAATATTACACAGATGTGGTCATTCTATAGCATACGATTCTTTGAGAATCCGCAACACGGTTGCTCAGAAAGAAACCACTTAGTCATACTTAGCAAATACCAACGTGATTGTTTCTCGACAATTGGTATCTGATCGGTTTGTTCAGTTCGCTGCTGATAATATCGACATATTAGAGGAAACCTTGGATAAAGCGCCTACGTTTTACGGGACTGAAATGGCAGTCTCCCAAAGAGGACCACCCAATGCCGCAAACAATGATGACAGTTTTGAAATTTTACCCTTTAAAGCACAATAACAAATTCCAGAAAATTTCCACTGTTTGGACAAACTTCATTTTGTTGAATCCAGAAAACAAGTGCAAAATTATCCAAATAAAGAACTAATAATAGAAAGAAATGATAATGTCAACTATATTGAATATCATAATACAGCCTGGGCGTTTTGCAGATTTCAGAACTGCAATTCGAGGGAGGACATGGGAATACCCAATTGTCAAACTTCAACCGTGTCATGTTCAAGAGCCCAGTGACCACATACGGGTTTCTGCCGCTACTGCCTTATGTTGCATGCGATTAGGACACAATCTAGACGGTTTTAACAAGATGTTCAAAGCAAGCGCATAAATTGAACAACAAATACAGTCATGACATTTGATCAGGCTATATATTACAAAGCGAAGGAGCTACAATGGCTGAAACTGGACGAACACATATGTGGTACTCCGGCTAGGAGGGTTTCACATTATGTTGAACTTCCTGAAGGTAATTGATCAGCATGTGGAAGGTTCCGGACTCTCAGACATGTGGCTGGAGAGTGGAATGTATGGACAATCCACTATCGGTGGAATTCTTGGGGGAAAAAATGGAACAAGGGCGTCAGAGCACATAAACTGACATATGAAAGTCTAATAAGGATACTTTTGTCTGTCTTTGAACAGTGGCTTATTGATTGTAGAAGCGATGATTCAATTCATTCCTCAAACTTGCTACGATTGGTATCAAAGGAAATTACGTTAGACTTTGGCACCCAGTCACCGAATATCCACCAAAAATTCACAACTCTGACAGAAATTATATCCTCCTACTCAGACGAATTCGCCAAGTTCATTGATTCCCAAACATTGACCTCCAAATATTGGTACTCATACATTGAATTAGTTGAAATTCTATTAGAATTCAATATGGCCGAAAGATCAGGAAACTGGCTGCATTTGAGTAGTTTTAGGAGGATGTTAGAGTAGAAATCAAACGAGAAGAAGCCACACGCGTTATCGTTTGTCCCACTTTAAATGGGACGGACCTAGAGAAAAGGAAATCTGCTTTCTTTGTCAGCGCTGGCGCGACGACAGTGGACAGTGGTTTCTTCTCGTTTGATTTTTACTCTACCATGGTTCTTTGTCTACGATCACACGAATTACTCCAGATGGGGCACAATTTATTAACTTGATATATCTAGTTTACCCAGTACTGCCCCTGAAGTATTCGATCAATTTATAATGGGAAACTTCGTCGTTAAACGTTTGGAAGGGGATTTTAATCAATTTTCAGTTGTTTGAATTCTCCAAAAGTTCTCATGTCAAATTTGTCACTAGTGGAGGATTTCATGACGTTACCGAATAAAGCAAACTATGCATTGAATACCGATTTATTAAATTCAACACATGAGAAGGCAGATAGTAAAAACTTATTACATATTCTTGTGCTAAGCTTGAAGGTTATTCTGGATGCATAGTTGGCTGCAGAGACACGGATGTTCTTGCACTGCTGTTACACTTCAAGAATCAATTGACAGAGGAGGTTTGGATGAAAACAGGAAGAAAGAGCAATGTTCACTTTATATCCGTGCATGGAGTACAGATGGACCTTACCTTGGTTAAAATCTTCCTGCGTTCCATGCTCTCAAAGGAGGTGATACTACCAGTCAGTTTGTGGGGCTTAGAAAAACCGCTTTGTTGGAAAAAAAAATTGTCAAACGCTTACTTGCTGGATGACGTGGGATCATATCAACTGGATGAAACCATAATCAGAAACATAATCAAATTCGTTTTGAAACTACATATATACATCATCGGACTTACAATGTATAAATGAGTTACAAAGTATTATGGCTTCTTCCAAACCCATCAGTAAACTTCCAACAAAAGACAGTCTTTGTCAACATCTATTGCGAGTTAATTATCAAACGTATATCTGGAAAAATAGTCTTCAACCAAAGCCATTGCTACCTGATCCACAATCACATGGTTTGAAATTTGAAAATCGTTGAAAATAGACAGGTTGCTGTTCTCAGTACCGATGCCGGAACAAACATCATATATGATAAATATATTTATCCTTAAGCAATTGTAAAAAACACTAAGGAATTCAATAATAACATTGGCAGGACAGAAGAAGAGGTTTTGCAGTCATCAGATTCTAAATCTGACTAAGCAGTTTTTTCTGGCAAAACATTTTCTAAACTAGAAGAGATTGATTCTTATTTCACATAAATAGCAAGTTGTTTTTTTACTAGAGTCTAGCCATCACATGTGGAGCAACTACGATTGTAGCCGAAAGCCGAGCCGAGCGCATTGAATTCGAAGGAAGGTGTATATTCGTTTGCAGCAAAAAGTTGTTGACTGAAGCAATGTGATACACTGCTCAAAAAAAAAAAAAAAAATTGATATTTATTAAGAACTCCTTAAATTGGAAATCAGGAGAAACCCAACAACAAAAAAAAAACTTAAAATCAATATTAATAATTTCCTCTTTAGAGTAATTGGTACCTTTTTTGCTCATTTGTTAGTAGGTAAGGGGAGTAGTTCGGATGAGTAGTTCATTTTGTTTTCGTTTTAAAGTGCACAATATTGGGTTTAAAGGCAGTCTGTTCTACCGCCCTAGCCCCCTATAACTTTCCACATTATTAATGTTCATTAGGATTGAATCGAATTTCTTTTTCTGGATCATCCGATATATTTGAACGCGATAATACGCCGGCTGATACTTCTCTAGTAATATTAAAATATAAGACAAAAATAAACTAAAAAAAAGAGCTTTCTTTTTGTTTATTTTTTTCTATACCACTATCCTAAATCCGAACTACAAAAAATGTAATATTTTTACAAATAATTATTTCTTGCAGAATGGACTTATTTTGATTTGATAAAAATAAGAATGGTTAAAGACACAATAGAAATAACATTTAAATTCTGTTCTCGATTTTCTATGCACCAGAGTTCGCTGTTCGGCTATTATCGGGTTTGCTCCGGCTGTGACGGCTAGACTCTAGTTTTTTTTTCCTTCACCTGCTTTAGAAGTTTGAGAATGAATTTGTTTCTTTTTTCTGAACAAAGCCAGATGAAAAAAAAAGAGACACATCCATCTGAATTCTGAATGTTTTCACAATAATAATATAACTACATTAATTCCTTCAAAATTACGAAAGCAAGAAAAGTAAATCGCGAAAAATTTACCTTAATCCTGAGATTCTAGTGTACAAAATTGGTTTTTAAATTGCACTACAGATAACTCAGATATTTCGAAGTTAAGGTGAACGAATACTAAAACAATGATACACCTTTCACTAGGAAGCAGTAAGAGGTACGGTCGCTCATTTAACTACATGCTTTTGGAAAACATGAACAATTTGTTTTCCATTGTGGACACTGGCAACAAGTGATAATACTCCTATAAAAATAATCACGACGTTCGGTAGATCAATATATGAAATTTTTTTTTTAGGGATTTTCCACATTTCATATCCTACAGCCACCCTGTACAGGACGAATTTTTGACGACCAACGGATTTGGACCTGATTTGGGGTTAAGGAATCGTTTAAAAAAAGTTTCAGCTTTTAATAAGACAATGCAAACAGAAATCGCATTTTCACTCTTCGAGAAGTCTACCATTAATGATATTACATACCACATAGGTACTTAAAGGTACATTTGACTAAGTAGTTGTTAATCACTGAAACAAAATACATATTACCGTAATCGGTAAGGGATGATACACTGTAATCAGTGTATCATTTTCATGTACAGGATGGTCCAAATTGGACACTTTCTTATGGAAACACCCTTTATTTTTAGAGATAGAAAAAAATGGACCCCCCACTCTGAGGCTCAAATTTCATGAAATTTTGATTGGTGCAAACCGCATTTTGATATCTTCAACCGTTTAGGCGCTAGAGGGTGATTCTCGACTTTGAGCAATACTGTAAAGCCTCCATAACTTTTTTGTTTATGGAAATAATTTATTTCCGTAAGGACCTTTTGGAAGCACTTTTTTAAGCAGAATTCAGTGACGTTCCCAGTTTTTTTCTGTCTGGCTTCGATTTCGAGATATTGACCAAAATCCGATTTTTTTCAATAGGACACTCTATATATTAATAGTTCATTAGAAAGCTATGCTTTCGCTGATTTTAATGATACAGGTTTGATAGGTTTATCTTTAACAGTTTTCGAAAAAAAAAATTATTTCGGTTTTTGTCATAAGAAACAATGTGTAAGAAAGAGACCTTTCTCAGTTTCCTTATAGAGATAAAGTCCTTTTCCAACACATTGTTTCTTATGACAAAAACCGAAATAATTTTTTTTCTCGAAAACTGTTAGAGATAAACCTATCAAACCTTGTATCATTAAAATCAGCGAAAGCATAGCTTTCTAATGCACTATTAATATATAGAGTTTCCTATTGAAAATAATCGGATTTTGGTCAATATCTCGAAATCGAAGCCAGACAGAAAAAAACTGAGAATGTCACTGAATTCTGATTGAAAAAGTGCTTCCAAAAGGTCTTTACGGAAATGAATTATTTTCATAAACAAGAAAGTTATGGAGGCTTTACAGTATTGCTCAAAATCGAGAATCGCCCTCTAGCGGCTAAACGGTTGAAGATATCAAAATGCGGTTTGCACCAATCAAGATTTCATGAAATCTGAGCCTCAGAGTGGGGGGTCCATTTTTTTCTATCTCTAAAAATAAAGGGTGTTTCCATAAGAAAGTGTCCAATTTGGACCACCCTGTACAGTTCGTTCATTAACTACAAAAGAATTCCAACTTAAAACTACCTTATGCAAAGAGTCACACCAATCTAAAAACTTACTGTGCACTTTGTAAATATTATAAACCTTTAGCCACCAAATATAAAAATCTTCCATATTATTTACCTGTTCCAATTCCGGTTCTCCCAGCATGGTAAAACACTCCTTACTAAACCTCTCCAACATACAAACAAATTCCGACTCCAAACTTTGGTTATTCTGTATCAACGGTTGATTTTCCAATCGTATTCTATATTTTTCGTTTTCCAACCAATTATTCATCAAGCCTTTATCACAATCACCATTAATATCTTGGGAAATATTACATTTGCCACTCAAAACGTTAATTCTTGCATCAATTAGGGCTTTATGGGCAATAATATCTGCAAATTCTTGCAGTAAATTAGTAGCTGTGCGACTAGAACGTTCAGATTCCACTCGGCGTCTCCAATTTTGCCTTTGCAATTTGTTTAGATAGTTTTTATATAATTCCGTTAGTTCTTTTATGCTTTTATTGATTTCTTCATAGAGACAATCTCCGACCGAGTCGGACCATAGCTCTAAGGCAGCTCTTTCAGATGCAAAAAAACTAAAGAAAAACGAATTATCTGAATCTAAATTTGTTTGATAAATTTGAGCGGCTCTAAGTAAAACGTGATTAATTTCGGATTGAATTAATTCATTGTCAACGATTTTAGTTGCGTTTTTGGTGAATTCATCCAAAGTGTCCTGATTTAGGGTTTTTAGGCCTGAATAAGCTTCATTAGCTAAAGCTTCAGCTAATTGTGGTAACTTTGTGGCTTTGTATACGTCCAATAAAACTTCCAGTTTTTGTTGTTCCTCGCATAAAATATGTAAAGAAGGCCCATTGTTTTTTATGAAATTTTTACACATTTTAAAACCATGACCCACAGCTATGAGACATTTAGCTAAGATTTTACTCAAGTATTCTGCACTTGTTCTACACAGAGGCGTTTCTTTTTTATTTGAGCCATTTAGTTTGTTTTGCAATGAAATTATTAAATAAGCAGTTTCTTTTGTTTCTTTATCAATTAATTTTCTGCTAATAGCTTCACCAGTTATTGGAGAATTCAATGCTTCTTGTATACGACTAACTAAGATATTTTCATAAGCCACTTTTTCAGCTAATATTTGTAATCTAGCGCTAGCGTCTAATTGGCCTTGTTCAATAAGCAGTCTTTTTTTCTCGGATAAATTTTGTAATTTCTCAACTAAAATAGCTTGCAGCTGTTTTACGACAGCTTCAGCTGAAGCGTTTATTACATTAGCTTCATCGTTGTTGCTTAAAATGTCATTCAATTCGTTTAAAGTGTTTTCTAAAAATATTAGTCTTTCTGAATTCAATGAACTTCGCTTATTTTTTAATAAATTCACAGAATGAAGACATTCTATTACTTTAGCTTTGGCTGACATAAGCATTAAATCAAAATTTCCATTTTCTTCATTCAGTTTTATGTTTAGGCTTTCGTTTGAAGCGTTAACATTTGTTACCTTAGATTCTAAAGAGCTCAATCTCATTAGTAGTTTCATTGGTTCAGAAGATGTGGCACTATCTAAACTTTTCCTTCTTAATCTTCTTAAAGATTTATCATCTATTGGTGAAGTTCTTTCGCTGCTTCTATCTCGCTTGAAACGACGTTTTTGTTGTTTATTATTCCCTTTTTCCATAGATACAATTTTAGCTTCCAATTCGGTAACTTTGTCTTCGACTTCTTTGTTTATTGAAAAGCTTTCTTTGCCTTTTAAAGACAAGGATCTACGTTTATCTTTTGCTTCGTTTTTTACTTTTATCCTCAATTGTTTTTCAACGTTGGTTAATTTCGAAGTTAAATGATCTAAACGAACAACCAACAAGTTAACTTCGGCTTGATGTTCTTGCCTCAAAGCGTCTATGCTTTGTTTTAGGCTGTGATTGGCGATTTCCAATTGATCACAATTGTCTTCGGAATTTCTTAGAGCTCTTTTTATAGCTCGAATTTCTATTACTGCTTTCTCGAAACGACATTTTAGATCTAAACAATATTCTTTTAGTTCGTTTGTTCCTAATTCGTCAATGTCGATGTCCAAGTCGATGTTTGTAAGATCTGTTAGTGAATCCACGTTGTTATTTCTTGTTGAAGATCTCGATTCGATTTCTTGTAGTTTTTTATAAACTCTATCGTTTTCTTGCCTGGATTTTTCTAGTCGTTCATTCGAACTGTCCAGCTCGTCTTGAAGGCTCGATAAGATTTGCTGTTTGGTTAGTAATTCTCTTAGTAAAATTTCGTATTTTTCTTCGAATGTTCGCGAAGTTTCTTCGGATTCGGCTAAGCGTCGTTGCAGGGCTTTTTGCTCTTTTAAAAATTTAATTTCCATTTGCGAGTTTCTTTGGTTCAACTCGTTTTCGGCTTTTTCCAGGTTGGCTAGCATTTCCTTTGCCTTTTTTTCGCGTGTCGCAGCATCGGATTGAAGCTTTTTCAATCTGAAAAAAAATGAAGGTAGGTATTTGAAATTTGGGGTCTAGAATTTGCTTGCCTTTAAATAATGCAAAATATACTAAAAGAAACATATATACAATTTTTTCACAAAGTGTGGAAGAAAATCACATCACACGCCACATACTATAGACCAATAATTACAGGCCAATTGCTGTAAAACTTGTTTGGCTCTAGAATTAGATCTCACACTTATTGAGATAAGCTTTTATGTTTATGTTCCTCTAATCTCTATATCAACTTATGACATTTCTCGCCGATCACCAAATACAGTAAAATATTATCAATTCATTAGAAACTGCCTGGACTGTCGCAAGAGGAAAGAGCATGCCATAGGTAGAGGAAAGAGCATGCCATAGGTAGAGGCAAGAATGGGAGTTATTAAAAAATATAAGAATCGGTCCAGCCCTACCTCTGTGTACCTGTCATATGACTCCCCTAATCCACCTTCATCTGCAAAACTGGAGAGACTAGTGCAATACTGTGGGCTAAATAACCTAGAGATTCTCATTGGAGCAGATGCCAACGTCCATCAGACCGCATGGAATAGTAGCGACATAAACCAACGCGGTGAGTACTTACTTGACTTCATTATCTCTAATAATCTAGACATTCTGAATCGGGGACCTAAACCTACTTTTCTAACAAAAAATAGGCAAGAACGTATTGATGTAACTCTGGCGTCTCTCAGAATAAGCTCTCAAATATGTAACTGGAGGGTAGATGATGAACCGAGTCTCTCGGATCATAGGTATATTCAAATGGAAATCAAACATATTGATAAACCAGAGCGTGTATATCGCAACCCTCATAATACTGACTAGGAGAAATAGCGACAGGACCTAAGACTAAACCTGACTAACATTAAAACGGTAATTAAAACAAGAACAGATATAGAGGAGGTATGCCTGCCACTGCAGGAAGCCATCCAAACCTCATATCATGAAAACTGTGCAGACAAAGTGGTGGAATGCAAACCCCGAAATGCTTAGGAAAAATACACAAAAATAGAATCCTGAAGAAAGTTCTGCAGCGACGTTGAAAACAGCCCGTTTCCAGAAAATTCTAGCCAAGAGTCCGATAGAACCGACGGGAACCATTGAAAAACCTGACGGGAACTTCACAAAAAATGGGGAAGAAACATTAAGTTTACTTCTTCAAACCCATTTTCCAGACTCCCCGAAGTGAACCCTGATAGCAGAAACCCATCAAGCCGTTCCGCTTTCCGTAATGGAGCGAAAAAGGAGGACTGAGAAATTGCTAAAAAAGTGGTAACTTATAATGACATAATAGTTATTTATGTATCAAGGGTACTAAGTAGATGATTATGCCCTGAGGGCGACAGTCTTACAAAGCCGAGGGCCTCTGGCCCGAGGGTTCGTAAGTCGCCTGAGGGTATATATATCTATTAGTACCCGTGGTGCATACAAACTTTTATGTCATACCAGTTGGTTGTGAATAATAAATACCTGGGAAAAAAGTGTCACTTCGCAAATTGTCATCAGTGTGCAAACATCATAATTTTTTGACAAAAATAATATGTTTATCAACGTATAGTATATTACATACCGAGGTGGAAAGTGTTTCATTACTGTCGAGAGATTTAAGTTAGACCGAGGCGCAGCCGACGTCTAACTGAAATCTCGAGACAGTAATGAAACTTTTCACCGAGGTATGTATACTATTTTATTTACAATCATTCGAATTTTGAAATTTTCATTTGGATTAAAACTCAAAAATACAATAATTAACAATTTCATTTACTTTCGGCCCACGGGTCGAAAGTTTACTTTCGACCCGTGGGCCGAAAGTAAGAGTCAAAAAATACAACAAATTTTAAAAATTTCATTTACTTTCGGCCCACGGGTCGAAAGTAAAAGTCAAAAAAGTGACATTTTCGAACTTTTTAAAAGTCAGTAAAGTCAACATTACATGTATGATTGTAAATAAAATTTATATTTTGTTAATAAAGAATAAGTTAATTGGAAACTGTTTTTTGCGTCTTTATGCCCGCGCGGGCCATAATGTGTACTTTATGCCCGCACGGGCATAAAGTAATGACTTATGTAGATGGTAGCTAAGGTATAAAAACACAATAATGTATTGGTATGACATTGAATTATAAAAGGTGCAATAGGCTCATTTGACAGCTTCAAATAAATCACCGGGACCAGATGAAATATTACCAACATTCCTACAAGAGGCGGTGGACCTTGGAGCACCACACCTCTGCAGGTTGTGCAGAGCCAGCCTGGCAATAGGCTATATTCCTGGGTCTCTGGTTTGAGGGGGGTAACATTCCTAATTTTCCCAACTTTATTAAAACATAAAAAAAATCACATGTAGCGAATGAGTCGGAGTATAAAAAGGCTACACAAAAGATAAACGCGCATCTGTAATGACGTCACAAGGGTATCGGCGCTTGACAAGAGTAACCGCGCAAATACAATGACAGTTTTCACTTTGCAGGCAGACCCATAGTGCAGATAAAATGGTAACTGCTGCTTTTCAGTTTTTAGTTTTGTTCGCAAAACTTGTCGAATCCGCACGGCCTCAATTAATTTTCGAAACATTCAGAACACGCACTGTGACTCTACGAGAAAAACTGCCACTGCGGCAAATACACTGCGTTTCGCAGGACCAAAACTGCGTCACGTCACGCTGCGAAGTAATACGCGCATTACTTCTTACTTGGGTTCACAAAAACTCGCCGTGAGTCACGCTCTCTCATTTGGTTTATGTCAATCGTTCGTCGGCTGTCATTATCATTCGCTGTCTTTCTCCGCCTCTCTACGTTATATCTTTCTCCTCTCTCGTCTCTCGTGTGCCGAAATTTGCCAAAACGTGTTATTCCATTCTCGTCCAAATCAGACCGCCGCATAAGAAGTTTCACTTCAGAAAAATCATGTGTAGCATCGTACAAGTGTTAAGAAGTGAAACTTTTTAACAACTATTTCTTTAACTCAAGAGCATCAGGATTCAGAGTTATGCTGAAATCTGAATAGCGAGCGAAGAATGCGCAGAACGCAGAAGGCAACATAATATAAGAAGTTTGGATTACCTAATATACTATATAGCGCTAGTGGTGCTAATGCTACTACTGCCACAAGTGTCACGTGCCACTGCGTGGCGTTAGTGCAGTGCAAAGTGCAACGCAAGAAATTCTCTGCGACCATTGGGATTTCGTCATTCTGTTGTCTGGTGATTTTGCAATTCATTACGACACGTGACACGATCCTTGGGTTAATTTTAATTAGTCCTCGCGAATAAGGTGCGCAAATTTTTGTCTACCAATTTTTCCCAACTCTAAATTTTTTATCCTAGTTTTCCCAACTTTCGATATATTTTAGGAACTTTGGGGAGGGCGCCACCCCCCCCCCCCCCCCCCCCCAGCCCCCCCCATGGCTCCGTCCCTGGATCAGCTTATCGTCCTCTATGTTAAAGGTGACAGAGAAACTAGAAAAGGACATCAGGGAAACCTCACTGAAACAGAGGCCACTTCACCAAAACCAACATGCCTTCCAACTAGGTAAATCATGCGAATCAGCTCTACACGAACTGGTGACAAGAGTAGAGAACTGACTAGAAAACAAGGAAATCGCCCTAGTAACATTCCTTGACATCGAAGGAGCCTTTGACCACACCTCCTACAACTCCATAGTCAGGGCTACTGGGCAATATGCGATCAGTGCCACATACCACGTGCAGATTATAAATTCGATTATTGCTGAAACCTCTATTAAAGCAACTGCGACAAAAGGATGCCCACAGGGCGGAGCACTTTCACCACACTTGTGGAATCTAGTCGTGGACAAACTTCTGAGGAAACTGAACGATCAAGGCTATATCACCCTGGGCTACGCGGATGACATAGTCATTTTCATTAGGGGAGGATTTACCAGGACGGTATCAAACCTCATGCAGGACACCTTAGGAATCATTGAGGAATGGTGCACGAGGAAGCAACTTCGCGTCAACCCCTCCAAAACAAAACTCATTCCTTTCATGAGAAAGAAGAAATCTGGAGGACTTAATCGCCCCCAGTCTATAACCTTGGAGTTTGGCAGGGAAACTAAATTTCTAGGCGCCAGGTGGCAATTGGCACCACAAAATCATCGGTAAGAACAAAAATAAACCAATGGGTGTAAAGTTCGTCGATTTTAATCTGATACCGTAAAACGGGGTTACTTTAGAAGGGCCAGGTGACTTTGTGACACATGGTAGCGGGCGCACCAAATCCTCAACAGTTCGCGCATTCTCAACCGACAGCCTCGCGATTGCGCTCAAGGCATTTCAAAAAGCGCGCTAACAAATCAGTATATCAATTAATGTTGTAAAACACGGCGTCCAGCTGTGCGTGCGGAAAATATCCACAACAGATAATTTCAATATTTTACTTCTGGTGTAAATTTTACCTTGCCCAATTGAGAGTATCTTATGTAGCCAGGATTTGAGTTAAGGTAGTGTTCTATGTAGTTTTGGCTATTCACTGATGAATTAACATTTTATCAACAAACATGTGACGCCATATTTAATAAAATTTCAACAAATTTCGTGGTGAAATTGTGACACAATTTATGTGGTACCTACTAACAATGTTAGTTCCATTTCATTTTTTTTATTTTTTTCTAAATAACCTTTTTTTAGTTTCTTTTTTGAGTTACCTTAGTTCCAAGTTAGGTATTATGTTTCTTTTTTTTTACTTTTATATGTTCCTATTAGACAAATAAACCATTTAGGTTCAATGAAATTTGTTTTTGGGGGCACTTTGTGAGTGTGACACATCAGTTAGACGTGCTCACGACTAGAGGGGTGAGTTTAAAACAAATCTAATAAAATTAGTCCCATTTGTATCTAATTTGTGTCATTTTCTCGGCCCGCTAAAGGCCGACTTTGGACTTGCGTGAAAATTTTTAGTTGTCACAAAGTCCCCCCATTGATAGGGGTGAGATTCTGACAATTATTTTTGTAAACCACAGTTCTACTTCTAAAAATTTTCAAAACATCTCATTCTCATTGCATTTTAAAAGCCAAATGATGTGAGTTTATCATTGACCTACCAGAAATAATTTTTTTCTTTTTAGATTCAGAAAAATCAACCGAAACCGTAAAATTTGTCACAAAGTTACCTCGTCTTTCGGTACTCGGAAGGAATGTGAGCTGGTGGCACCCTGCATAAGAATTCCAATGGTCACCTGACGTCACACCTGTTTTTGCCATATACTTTACCCGTCGCTCCCCATAGGGAAAGTGTCAGATAAAAATCGACGAACAATATAGACAACACCAAACGTACTGGCAAACCCTTCCGAAGCTCAGACACAGTAAGCTTATCCTAATGGTACAGCAACCATCAACTAAACTTACTGGAGAGATCCTACAACTAAACAGGAAACAAATCACGCTAATAACTGGACACTGTAGCCTGAGAAAACACCTTCACACAATGGGCATCCTCCAAGAAGAACCCATATGCAGACTTTGTGACGAGGAGGATGAAACCGCCACTCACATAATTTTCGAATGTGAGGCTTTACGCTGGTAGAGATACGGACAGATAGGGTCTAAGACCCTATCTCTAAACTCACCAAAAGTAACATGGTGAAGAGGCTCCTAAACCTAATCAAGGTCACGAAACTTTTCACTGACTAAACAGACGAACAGGACAATACAATAATCCGACGGCTGCAGTGTCCGCCTGTTCACTCTGCATCTCAACCAACCAACCAACCAACCAAGAGAGCCCTAGAAACTTGCCTTCAACAAAAAATCTACATATCCTGTAGACAATGTCAAATATGGAAATGTCGAACACTGGTCAAGACATACAAACCGCTATGAACGCAGGCGATTTATCTAATTTGAAAAGTGTAATTTTAACCAAATGCAGTCGTTATCTTAAAACAACCCATAATAAAGCGTGAAATTATCTAATTACATGTTTTTTTTGCCATCTAGACCTCGTTGATTTGAAACGGTCAAAATATGCTTGAAATTAGTTTTAAACAAGGCAAGACTCAATTCTGAAATATAAAATGGCCATTCAACCTTTTTCCTTCTGATATACCTTTTCTCGCATCAATCCTCTTGGACCCACTATATTTGGATAGAGTTAAAATTGATAAAAAGAAGAAAAAAAAGAAGTTCAAGTATGAAAGAAGGATTTGAGACAACAAGGAGCTTTTTATTATAATCAAAGATTGACAGGATTGTATTGAGAAACCCCAGTCTCAAAATGAAAATGTGATATTTTATTGGAAGGTGCTTAATTGTAGATGTTTCAGATCATAGTGAGAAGAAAAAACCAGTTGATTCATCATCATCGGTTTCATGACCGCCTGCTGTTGTAATCATAATCCATACTAGTAATAATTCATAAAAAACAGAATATTTAGAAGAAAGAAAAGTCAAGGAAAGATGCTTGAACGAAAAGAAAATGTGTATCCGGAAGAGTACGGCTGAGAAAAACCTGAAAAGAGTGCAAGGAGTTACTCCTTGCACCTTAGGAGTAACAAGAATAGACATACATAAGAAGAAATGTAGAAATAAGGTCAAACCTGGAACTGGAAACAGAATCAAACAAAAAAAAGTATAACAGAAATATGTGAAATGAAGTTTTCAGTTCAAGACTTGATCTATTTCACCATTTTCCAAAATAGTTTAGTTGCCATATGATGAGTAATTTCTAACCCATTAATTCTAGAATAATAGTACAACAATTAATGTCAGTTGAGGCCTGGTAACACTAAATTCTTCAATGGTAGATTCCATAAGTCCTTACCTGGCAATTTCCTCTTCCAAATTATTGACCTCCAACGCTGACCTGGCCAATTGCCTTTGCAATTCTGATATCATCTCGTTACCGTTATTTACCGGTGACGCATCGAAAGCACTGTCCATAATGGGGTCTTTGGCACAATCCAGTTCATCAGTGGAGGTACTGTCCAGCGTTGATTGTCGCGATTGACATCTCGGCAGTCTGGGTCGTAGTCTGGCACGGTCTTTTACACGTAATGCCAACCTAAGAGAATTTAATGATATTTATTTGAGCAATCGGATTATTATGGTTTATTGGTTTTAATTATAATTTCAGTTGTATTATGCGTAATTTATATAAGTAAAGAATGAAGGCTTTCACGGCCGGTCAAATCTAGTTAAAAAGTTTTTTCCGGGCTATAATGCCGTGGTCGAGTAATATTTCTATCTAACGTTTCGTCTACTGCTGCGTAGGGTTTCACGAGATTCTCGAAATTCGAGATTTCTCGTCTCGTCTCGATTTCGAGACGAGATCGAGACGAGACTGAATTATTTTTTTCGAGATGAGATCGAGAAAAACAGTTCGAGATTTTTCGAGATCGAGAAATTTTTTCGAGATTTCTCGATCTCGAAAAAATGTTGGTGTTGCAATACCTAAAGCTCAGACAACTCTTAACAGGTCAGAAGCTTCTTAAAAAATTACGAGCCATCTTTGATAAGTTCGGATATATGGCCTCGTTTTTTCTCCACCACTCTAAAGACCGGGACACATCCGACTCCGATGATACAACCAAGGTCCTTATTCTTGGAACAGGGGAGCAGCGTTCCCAGGAGAACGAGTGTTCCGTCTTCGTACTCATATTATCAGTTGCATATCATTGAGAAAGACGGAATCCTCCTGTCCCAAGAATAAGGTCCCTGATTATATGATCGGAGTCGGATCGGAAGAATGCATGATAGATGTGTCCCGGGCTTAAAATATCTTGATTCCCTTCAGCTTTCTTAGACAAACAATATTCATCTATTTCTTTTCTCCAGTTCTGCTCTGTGTTGCCGTTGCTTTTTCCAAATAAACTTTGCAAGTTAAAATCGTCGGTATTGTCATCAATATCATAGTCAGTAACATTATGCGATGTTGAATGAATATCGTTATTGGAAGTAATATGGTAAACTTCGTTATACGAGTTTTTTAAGTTTTATGTGTTCCGATCCAGACTTATGGTATATACATTTAATATATTTCAATAACATTCAGTTTTTGTTTTCGAGAATCTCGAATCGAGATCGAGAAATTGTCTTCGAGAAAAACATCGAGACGAGATTTTGTTGATTTCTCGTCTCGATGATCGAGACGAGATGAGAAATTGCCTTCGAGACGAGATTTCTCGTCTCGATGAAACCCTACTGCTGCGGTAGACATTTTCAGAGGCGGTGTGGTAGAGGACGAAGTGTTCTCTTCCGTATTCTAATCAAAAGTTTCCGAACTCCCAGACCCCTCCATCTACAATAAAGCTGAAGCGGAATACCACTGCTCCTATATTATTGCGAAAAACCAATCAACTTATCCGAGCACTACCGTTGGACCCGGAAAACGTAAGAAAACTCATCAAATCTGAGGCCTTATCACCGAGAAATATATGGACTTCCGAAGATTCACAGAACAGGTAACCCACTCACACCCATTGTAAGTGCAATAAATTCGCCCACATACAGCATAGCCAAATACACTCTCCTTCAGCCACGGATTGGCCAATCCAGCTATGTTAAAGACCACTCATTTTATCAAAAATATCAGTGACATCACTCTACTACCAAATGACATTCTGGTTAGTTTTGATGTCGTCTCTTTGTTTACCAAGGTACCAATGAATCAGGCCTTACTTGGAGTATCTAAAAGATGTTTTTCCAGAGGAAATCAACAACTTATTTCACCACTGTCTGACGACGACGTACTTCCAGTGGCAAAATGAATTCTTTGAGCAGACAGATAGAGTCGCAATGGGGAGTCCACTCAGCCCGGTTATCGCCAACTTCTACATGGAACTCTTTGAATAAATGGCACTGTGAGCGGCCACAAAAAAAGCACTTGAAGGAAATGGGTACCCCAAGCAGGAGATAAATAGAGCTATAAGACCGAAGCAACAGCGCACAAATTATAAGGAACCAGCACAGGTGGCAGGGAGAGCCTTTCTTCCCTACTTCGAAAATTTCACAGATCGCATGAAACGAACGATACAAAAACACAACATCTACCATGCCCACATGTGTCACGCCCATGTACAAGCCCACAAGAACAATTCAGCAAAGTCTAAGATCGGCTAAGGATTCTAGGGCATCTCTTGAAACGGCTGGCGTCTATAGAATTCCCTTCTCTTGTGGATCTGTACCTGTAGGATTAGGAACAACTAAACGCTCTATCAACACCAGACAAATAGATAGATCAGCAATCGCCGAACACGTGGATAGGAGCAAACATTTTTACTTCAGGCTTCACAGAGAAGCCATAGGGATACAGAAACACCACAACAACTTCAACAGAAAAGAAGAGGGCATGAACCTTAACAAAAGCTGATTGCCAGTTTTCGGAAAAACAAAGACCCTTCCTTTCCGAGAACGAGACAAGGAACATAGCGTAATACAAGCCACGCCCACAACCTTGGATATAAATAACGCAGGTCCAACAACGTCGAATCCAGTCATCCGAAAAATACGGAAGAGAACACTTCGTCCTCTACCACACCGTCTCTGAAGATGTCGACCACGGCATTATAGCCCAGAAAAAACTTTCTTTACTAGTAATTTATAAGGTTACCAAAATTTAGTACCTACAAACATTTTTAGAGAAAACAAGAAAACCTAAACGTCTCTCATAATTTAACATTGCTGATTTTCCTATATCACAAGACTAAAATCATACCTATTTGATGGTGGCGATGGTGGAAGTTCACTCCAATCGCCGGACTCTCTTCGTCCACCTTCACTAGCAGTCCGATATTCCTCGTCACTAGAAAACAAAACCGATTTGGGCGTGTTTGGTGTTATAGGGCTCTCTACAGGTATCGGGGCAGCTTTCTTCAAAGCTTGCATCCAGTTAGATCGGATTCCTTGGGTCACTGCACTGAGCGTCAGCGTCGGACCGGCCCAGATGATTTCGAAGCCGTACTTTGATTCAGTGGGTACTTCGGTGTAATTTGTGACGGTTGACAATTCGACGCTCAGTTCTGGCACCCCATGCTCGTCTTGGTCTTGATAGACGTTTAAAGTTGGTCCGCATAATACTATCCAGCGACGGACGCAATCGTTGTTTGGTGTTTTTAACCATAACCAACCCTAAAACATATTTTTTCAAAATTTTAATTTATCCAGCATAAAAATACCATACATAGGTATCATAAACGGGTTAACAAAAACACCACTTTAACATTTAAAAAAATAAAGCAAATTTCTTAAAAATGAAGAACAACGCTTTTATGAAGATGCCGGTTTAAGCTCAAAAGCTTCAACTTGTAATACCTTGCAGTACAAAGGTAGGTACTTAATACAATGTGCATTTGTTGTTTTGATAGTTTTATAATTGTCGAATGCAGTTAAGTATGTTTTTGCTGCCATCAATTATATTTAAAATCACTGACCTTTTTAAGATGTAACAATCCTTCAGCTGGTAATGCTAAGCTAGACTCAGGTGATCTGTCAGTTAATGCGGTAGCTATATCCCTCAACCTTTCGTTCCTCCAATCACGCCTTGCCCTTACTTTGTCGTCGCAGCGTAGCTTGTCTCTGGTTGGTGGCGAGCCAGAACTGACTATGTAATCTGGAAAAGATATATTTGATTAATAATAATAATGTCAGTGACACATGCAAAGTTAAGCGTATTCTTCATAAGCTCATTGGTCAAGAATCATTCAGCCGATGAAAATAATTTTTTTCACCCTTTTTTAGTATTCTCATCTCACACATTAACAACATTCATCCTGTATGATGATCTTTAAGCATATATCATCGTATAAACCCGATACATCACGTATGTTTTTTTCTTCTTTGACTAGACGAAACGCGGAAAAATAAGACCACATACGCTCATCGAACCGACGACTGCCTCAAGTAAAACTAAAAAAAAAAGTCGACGAAGAACCCAAATATGGAAAAGCGGCTACATAAATATCATTTCTTGGCTTTCCCTGGAATTTTGTGCGAACCTCGTCGGACCAGAAATAAAATACAGGAGAAGTTAAATTCAACAATATATACACTGGTTGGAGAATTATTGCACTTTTTTTTGTTTAACTGGTGCTTGTGTACAGGGCCAATTACCATAAAGAAGTATGCCAAAAAAATAAAATAAACACCTTACTTTATTTTACTTTTAAACTTGTCCGGACCTTGCACATTCGAGACACGCATTTTAAACGAAAGTCATTGAGAAAATAAATTGGTTTTTAATCAAACATTCTGAAAACCGCAGGTTTTTGGTTTTAGTTTGGTTACGGAAATTAAATTAATTTGTGTAAAACTTTTTATCTGTAGAAATAGTGGGTTCATTATGCATACTAGATACGTATTTTATGTATAGAACGTTCTCCGGTTATGAAGGTTGGGATCAGATGTAATTAAAAAATATATCGAATAGATAAATATCTTGAATACAATCTCTCGAAATTGTAGCGAAGTCACGTCGGCAGTTTTTATGAGAAAAAAACGGGTGGTTTTATTTCGTCCACTTGACATCAAGAAATTTCAAGCTACTGAATGTTACTGGATAAGAAATCAACTTATTGATCATCTACGATACAAAATGCACAAAAATCATTCCTGCAGGACGAACAGAAGCCAAAGACTTACTACCAAAGTCTCCAGGCTTCTTTTGCCATCATTGCTATGGATAGTCATTGGACAAATAGGTACTTGACTGATGGACGAATAACGACATTCTTAAGATATTTGAGAATAGGAATTAAAAAAAAACTCGAAGCCGTTTGTTCCAGTTCTGCTACATTGCCTGCAGTTGAAATACATCAGTTTTCCAGGGTAGAAAACAGTTTCGAAGAGAAAACACCATCGCACATCAGAAAAGAAATACATACATGGATAAAGATGTTTCTGCAAAAAATCGCATTGATGATCACATATTATAATTATAGCAAAGAAAAATGTAATATGCCAAAAGAACAAAAGCTAAATAATTAGGAGAAAATGGAACGAATAATATGAAACAGAACTATAAAGTTTTCTACGTCAAGAAAACGCACGTGGGCAGGGCCGGATCTACGAATTTTTCGAGGGGGGGCAAAGATGTGAATTGCCGCCCCCTGTTATATTTTATTTTTTATGTATGTAGTCACAAATGAGGTGTTGAATTTCACAATTTATTTATATGTAGCAGTAGCAGCTCGTGGTCTATACTGGAAGGGGTTCACACCTAAAGTGATCCAGTAGTTGAAGCCCAGCTTGTGGGATCCAGTAGTTGTAGCGCACCACAGGTGCCACCAAAGGCAGGAACTATTTTCGGGTGCCACGCCCAAAGACGTATTTCAAGCCTCCAAAAAAAATTTATTGGAATATCAAAGATTCATTATAAAAACTTAATTTCTTTTATCGCTCAATATTTGAGTCCTTTTATCTGAGGGATGGTAGCGCAGAATACATAGCTGTGGCCGGAGCCGGATTCAATGTTGTACTGTTGTACAACAGAAGGCGATTGATTATTCATTTATGACATGATATTTTTGAATTTATTGTATTTATTTGTCTGCGTGCACATCAAAATTAGAAGCTTATGCCAATATTGCGCATACGCATCTTATTAGCGGGAGCGGGCCAACCGAATGGTGCGCGGACCATGCGTGTACAACGCCAACGTGATGATGATGAAAACACATCTTCATACTATCGGACAGCCAAGCTGCCTTAAAAGCCTTAAGAGGGGCGTTTAAATAAAATGTCATTTACAGACCTTCACAAATTTCTGTTCAATTCCAAATTTAGACCGCTTTTCAGTAAAATGAAGATATGTTCATAACAATAAAGGCCGAAACCCACTAGCAACACGCCACGTCATGCTTCGCCACGCCACACCATGTGACGAAAATGTATGCGTATATTCTTCCATTTATTTATATGTGCCGCGTAGACACTTGCCATACGCGATACCACGCCATGGCACGCCACGCCATCCGTCCATTTGCACACAAACTGTCCCACGTGAACCTGTGTCACATGGCGTGTGGTGGCGTGGCGTGTTGCTAGTGGGTTTCGGCCTTAATAGTCTGGAGTATAAGTTGAAGCATTTTTGGTTGCAAAATTCGCAGTCTAATTAGACTATCCAAGATGCTGTCAAACTTTTAAAAAAATGTCCGCCAAGAGGCACACAAACCGTTTGTTTATGTGTCATTCAATGTGTCATCAATTTTTTTTTTTTTTAAATAGTGCTTATTGTTCATTTGCGTTTTGATGCTCAAAACTGTTGTTTTTACTCGTATTTTTATTAATGTTAGAAATAGTGTATTTAAGTAGTCCGCCAACACATCAACAGCATGGTCAGGAAGATTCAAGATACCTATCCTAACTGAGATATCGTCCCATCCAGAAGATTTTCTATTTTTTATACCTACTCAGTTTTCATTATTTAAAGTGGTAGGTCATAAAAATATATTATCAATATCAAGCGCAAACTATCTTAAGGAATGAAGACACCTAAATTTTCTAGAAGCAATTCTCAAACCTTTTGTGATACAAGGCTTTTTCATTTTCGATTTTAACTTGACTAACGGAAATGCATGGTTTAAAATTTCAATATTCTCACAATGAAATGAATGCAGAGCATTTACCTCCAGCAAAATCGTTCTCCAATCAAATCTAGAGCAAACTTGTGAAAAAACAATACAAATCAAAGCACAACACTTGACGGTGGAGTTGGAACAAATAAATATTTTCACATTTTAAGGGTAGGTCCTGGGTGTTCAAGTGAAATGTAGGTAGAGCAATCTTGCCCAAACAATAGGGATTCCGTAATTGGGTAGAAACGGCCAAAAATTGAGACGCACACAATAGAAAATTAGTATTTAATTATGATTATTATTGACATAACGTAATGACGTTATGGTTTGTGTTTGTGTCAAATGTTTGTGTGCTTCTTGTCGGCCATCTTTTGTCACGTGTCTAATAAATAGTAAAATTATCACCAATTTTGTTGACAACAGTATGCAAATTTTGGTCACGGATTTAAATGAAAAAGGGATAAACATATAGAGAAGCACACCAACAATAAATTTCCAAAATTTCAGATCATAAAATGCTGGAATTAGGCAATTCAAACCACGTGAAATTCAAGATGGCGTGGCTGCCACACATGGGCCAAAAAACACAAAAAAATATCTAGTTTCTGTCCGAATTAATAGTTTGGGTACCTAGTCTACAAATATTTTATTAAATAATGAAAATCAAAGTTGTAAGCAAAACTGTATGCAAAATAATTTAATATACGCATAAAAACATATTCAAAACAAGCTTGCTTGGCCGCCACGCCACATTGAATTTTCCTTTTTGACAGATGGATTGAATTGCCTAATAAATGAAAAGAACAGAATTTCCGTTAATTTTTTAGTTTTTGTTCCAAAATTAATCAAAATCTGCCAAACAAAAAGGTGATTGCTGTCATTTTCAGCAGAGACTCAAACCAAATGTGTGTTCAGAGCTTCTCTTGAAGGTGTCGCTGAGCTCGGGAAGCATATGAACTTCTTTCAAACGCCAGTAAAAACTGTTTCACCTAGCTAATAATGTGAAATACTATTATTTCATCTGCATCTGAATAAAATTATCTAGTCCACTGTATACTACTGTGTAAACGAATGGATATTGAAGATGTCGCCATCTACTTGTAAATAAATCAATCACTTACAGGGAATGTGCACATTTGTGACTAAAAAATATTTAATGTAAAGTGTGTTTTTTTTTAAAGAGAATTTCATACATCTGTCAAAACTGGTATTCCAACAATAAATTGACATGTTTTGATTGTTGATTTGAACCAATCAGATTGTTATTACGCGATAATTTGCATACTAACTGGTGCGAAAACTGGTGTTTTGACATTTTTTGACAAAAAATTTAAGTTTTTGATTTATGAAATTCTCTTATTAAATACAACTCGTGCAATGGAAATATATTTATAATTTTCGACAAATTTGCACTTATGCGTTTTTAACTGAAAAAGGCATTCGTGCACTACGTGCACTCGTGGTCTTTTTCAACTAAAAATGCATTCGGGCAAATTTCCCAAAAATTATCAATAATTTCCATTGCACTAGTTATATTACTATTGATAATTCCCCAAGTCAAATATTTAGTAACTATGTTGGCAACACAAGCCTTTTCTACATAAAAAATTTGAAAGATTGACAATTTTACATTGTATTGCCAGAATAATGTCATTTTGACTTTTATCTTTAAAAAAAAAACAGATTTTATATCATAAAGCCCAAAAATGCCGCGCTGGCTCCTATCTGACGCCCCTCTTAAGGACTTTCAAATGCAAGTCAAAACTAGTCTGGGAGTGTAAACAGACCCTAAAAACACTAGCGATACATAACCAGGTAACGCTGATGTGGCTTCCTGGTCATTGAGGCATAGAAGGAAACGAAGAAGCAGGTGGCCTCGCAAAAGAAGGAGCTTCAACACCATACCATAGACCAGAGCCCTACTGTGGCTTAATGAAAAGCCACATCATGAAGAACTCAACAAATGGGAAAAAGACCAACTGTCATCATATTGAAGGCACACTCCGGGATACAGACAGTCAAAAAGCTTTATTACCCT